AATTTGTGTTTTTTTGAGAATATATCAGTTTTATTAGGGTATTCTGATGTGGTGAGCTGTCGAGCTTTCTTGGCAACCCCAAGAGGAATGACACATAACTTGTTCCACCAGCTCTCCCCAAGGTCGATTAAGGATTTCGAGGTATTCTCGAGCTATTTTCTCAACCAGTATACCAGTGTTATAGCTCTAGAGAAAACCTACTTGACTTTGATGGCCATGAGACATGAAAAGGAGTCCTTAAGGTGTTATGTCGATCGTCATAACCAGGCTTGCATTGAGATTCTCTCGGCCTCAGACGAGATTATGACAAGAGGTCTTGTATGAAGTCTTAGGGTAGGGGCGTGTAAGAGCTCTTTAGCTAAGAAGGGTGCTATGACGTATGAAGATGTTCTGAGGCAGTGCAGAATGTATGTGAATATGAAGGAGATGGAGGTCGAGTTCTTGAAAATCGAATAAGTGTCTCGACCTGTGGAGAGCAAGAATGAGAGAGCGATCTCACCTAGAAATGAGAAGTCGAGTGGGAGAAGAGAGGATAAAAGCGAGGATAGGTGGCAGGATCAGCCACTCAAAAATGGCTACAGGTACGGAAAGTACACTCCATTGAAGACCCAGATGGTGGAGGTGCTTCACACAATCGAGTAGAGGATTGACAGTCGAGCAATTACATGGCCGAAGTAAAGGAGGTACAAGCCGACACAACTAAATTCTGGTAGATATTGCAGGTTTCACAAGGATTATGCTCACATGACGGACAACTGCAAACACTTGAAAGATGAGATCAAAAAGCTGATTCGAGCTTGTCATTTGAAAGAATTTGTATTCCAGGACAAAGGCATGAAAAAGAAGAAGAGGATATGTGGATAGGATTCACTAGAGAAGGAAGATCGAGATGAGGATGAAGACAGAGAGGAGCATGGGGATCGAGGTGTTCAAAGATTGAGTAAAAGAGGTTGAGAGATAAATGGTCGAAATTTTGAAGAATATGAGGTTTCAACTAAGAGGGGGGGGGGGAGTGTCATTCACATGATCTCAGGAGGTCCTACTGACGAGGACTCCAATAACGCAAGAAAGAAGCATGCACGAGCTACCCAGAGGAAGAGGGAAAAGGTCAACATAACGACTCGAGCATCCTTTAAAAGTTTTTGAGCTGAGGATGCCTAAGGCTTGCATGTGCCCCATGACGACGGACTGGTTATCACAGGTGAAGTGACAGGGTATGATGTGAAGAAGGTGTTCATCGACACTGGGAGCTCGATGGATGTGATGTTTTATGATTATTTTAGGCAGTTGAATTTAGACGTAGAGCTTAAGAAGGTTGTTACTTCGTTGTACGAGTTCAATAAAAGCAGGGTCATCTCCGCGGGCTAGATCACTCTGCTAGCTGCCCTAGGGACAAGCCCACTGAGAGGCTTGAAAATGGTCAAATTTGTGGTCGTGAGAGCTGAGTCGTCATACAACATCATGCTGGGAGAACGAGCCTGAACGCCTGTTAGGCGGTGGTTACAACGTACCTTATGAAGATCAAGTACCCAGTTGGTGAAATAGTATAGAGAAGTGCTCCATACTCTGTTGTAGGTCTTCCAGACGTTCTTGACAAATGTGTTAATGTCGTATGGTACAACGGTAGCATCTCTCGCGGCGTGACGAGAGTGTCTTTAGATTGTGACCAACTCGAAGGAAAGCCAGTCCCAAACGCCCTTCTTGTCCATGCTCCATTCTATTCATTTCATCAGATTCTTCTTGGAGTTGTCGCCTTCAATGCTCTTCATACCTCTTCGATTTTTTTGTGAGAAAAATCGATTAGTCTCTTATAGCCGGTAAAAATACTGATCTTTTCCCAAATACGGAGCTAATTTGATGCGAAAATTGCCTTGAACCAATGGAAACGCGAACCTTCACCAGCTCGAAGCTCCGACGACCTACAATACGTTAGGAACGGTCCCTTCGAAAAAGTCTCTGACGCTCAAGTCAGTGCATGCCCATGATAAACTGAGAGTATGTATGTAATTTCTTGTGAGTGTGTATGTGTTTTATATAGTAAAGAACATGGGTGCCCTTATATACCTAGGGTAAATTAGTGGCCAATGTTTGTCCTTTTTTTGTTGTATTTTTCATGCTCGTTTTACTTTTCTTTTTCCCCCGTTTTAGGTTGTTTCTTTCATCTTTCGTTTGTTTCGTGTGTTATCATGTGTTTTCGTTCATTTTGAGTCTTTAGGTGTTTTTCGTTTGTTTTTCCAGTCTTTTTGTGTTTTGTCATTTTTGATGTGTAGGTCGCGAGCTTCGAGCAAAATTTCTCTTCAATAAAAATTAGTTTCAAGAGCATAATTAAATAGAGGGGTTCGTTGGCGACGCGTAGGAAAAAACTACACTCAATTCCGAGTTCGAACGAACTCAAACGAGCCCAAAACGCGAAGTGGCGCAACCCAGACCTTAGTGGCGCTAAAGAGTTAGCGGCGTTAACCCCTGCGCGACCAGATTTTATAAATCTCGGTTTTTGCTTGATTTTTAGAATACCTTTCATTGGGAACGAGTCCCAACACCAGAAAAACACCTCCAAACTCATCTTTATCAGGTTTTCACCCTTAAACACTTGAATCTTCATCATGGATTGATCTTGGAGAGTGACACTCCAAGGTTTGTTTTCTTGTTTTTGGGTTTGTTTGTACTTTGGATTTGTTCTTCGCTTCTATATTAATCATAAGCATTAATTGTCGTTTAATCTATGGGATTGATGATATGTGTTGATATGGTGCTTTGTTTTGAATTCATTATGCGTAGCTAAATTCAATTGCTAGGGATAGGGAATTATTGTTCTAGTTAATTCGTATCTGTGGGGCTTGATTTGTTCATTCTTGTGCGAGTTGATTTGATTAGGAATTGATAAAATCTTGTTTGATTGATTGATATAATCGAAGAGTGACACTTCGATCTTGCAATTGAAAACGATTGAATGTTGATTAGTCGAGTTAGGGTTTTGTTGATTCTAAATGGTTAGTTGATTAATTCTCTTCTAATTTAATTAGCGACTTGTAGAACCGAAAGGGGAGAAGTTGTAGACCTAGGCTCGCATGAGGTAGATGAATTCGTAACTGAATAATATATGAGTTTTGGATTGGAATACATGCTTGTCGGTGTCTTTTCCCTTGTTACGAAAATTTGTTGGGATTGGATAATTGGCTGATATTGTATGCTTGAACTTGCTAGTCTATGTTCACTCTCTTGTTACGAAGAGTTATTGGGAGCGAACTGCTAGATGTTTAGGCAAGAGTGTCAATTCCCAACCGAACGATCAATTGTCTGGCTTTACGTTGCGAACTTGAATAAATTATCCCCAATGCCCTAGTTTCTTTATTATTATCTAGTTGGTATTTTAGGATTTATGTTTTTATGCTATTTCTTAGTTGATAGTTAATTCCTCCCCCATCTGATTAGAATGTTTAGGATTTATTTTTCTTTTTGTGTTTGATCGATACCAAGGCTAGATTCCAAATCGCCTTCCTCGAGAGATTGACCCGGGGAACGAATCACTCGATTCGGTACTCGGTAAAAATAACAATTTGTACACAACAGCTAAGAGAGTCCTTGTTAAGAAAGACATCATCCCGTATCAACTTTTCTAACTAGCAAGATCTACTGAATTTGAGAGTCTTGTCTCAATATATACTTCCCATCCGTGAAGGGTACTTTCCCCTCATGTTGCACGACTACTAGCTTGTGAGGTCACCAACCTGACCTCTATACCTACCTGTCACTAGTCTTATACAGGTTGTAACCTCGGCCTAACCCCAACCGACCTACAAGTCATTAGGTTTCTCATGTAGTCTAGTACCTTAGGTCTCCTGGCCTCAAAGCTAGATAAAACTATGTAGTTTTTGAGCTTCCTTGGTCTACCGACCTCCGATTTACGCAGGACTTATTCTAAGATGTAAGTACTGAACTAGATGGAGCTCTACTGAGTCGTCCACCACTGAGCTAACCTTTTTGGTTAGCTAACCGAGCTATTCTAAATGTCATATCAAATGTCCTCGCACTTTAATTTTTTTCCACACCAGAAAGTACGAATGGTTATGCAAATGTCTTCACACTTTTAACTTTCACACAATATCATAGCACAATTATCGCATAGTCATACATAGTGACTCGCACTTCATGGGGTGAAAAAGTTAATTTGTCAGCAGACATTACAAAAAACACAATGTTCTAAAAATTTCTAGTTGCTCCCTAAGCGATAGACTGGGGCCTAGCACCTAGACGGGATCGAGAAAATTTAATACAATTTATTTATATTTATCATCAAGCATAATTTATAAGATATATTATATGAAATATATTAATCGATATGGTTGAATAAAAAGGATATGCAAAATCTTATCATTCATAATTTTTATACTGATTACAAAATAATTATTAATATTTTTTATGATATAATTAATATAAATTTCATGCGTAAAAATTAAAATTATTTATGTTTTTTAAAAAGAAATTAAAATTTTTGAAAAAAAATCAATGCCATGAGTAAAAATTAAAATTATTTATGTTTTTTTAAAAAGAAACACGAGCTCCAAGATGCCGTCAAGACCGCCTAGGCATCCACCTAGCTCGCCAAGGCGTGAGTAACTTCACCAACGCCTAGCCCGTCTAGGCGCCGCTTAGTTGTTGGAGCACTTGGAACGACCGCCTAAGCAAAATCCGTGGCGCCTAGGTGCCGTCTGGCACCTAGACCGATTTTTAATCTAGATGAAATGCTTAATTCCATTGTCGAGGAGCAAAAGACTATTCACTAAAAGTAAAACAACCATTGTTCTCAAGATATGTACTATCTTGACAACTTGCTAGGTAAAAAAATACTCCCCTAGTATTTTCCCTAATAAAAAGCACCCTTGTAAAACGAATACATACAGGAATACAAAAAAAGAAGCCAAGCCAAACTTGTTTCACGCACAATTTTCTTAAACACAATAATATAGTTACATTATTAAATAACGAAGTCATGAATAATCTCAAATATAGGAGCGGCTCCCGAGCGAGGAGGCCATGTACCCTTGGCTCCTTGTACCGCACACGCACTGGCACTCGTACCCACATATGTTGCCAAAGCACGAAAACAAGCCGCTTCCCTCGCTGCCCCTTCTGCGGCCTCCTCCATAGTGGCTCGACGACCTTGACGAGTAGCCATAGCCGTTGTTGTCGTACAGCGGCGGCACCTCCATCCGCCACCTCTCCAGCTTCGACCTCAGCCCCTCCACACTCTCGTCCGCACTCCACCCGTCCAGAACCGAGCTCCCATTCTCGTTTTTCAGTGGGTACCTCGCGATCATTGCGGCCACCTCCGAAGGTGACGGGCCCACCTCCGAGTCTGACCATACCGAGACCGAGTTCCCCTTCGCCCCCTCACCTTTCTTGTACAAACGGGATGAGACCTTACTGTCGCTAACGACCGAGCTCGGCTTTCCGCCTTTGGGCTTCTGTTCGGCTCCACTGATGACCGAGCTCGATTTTCCTTTCTTGGGCAAGGGATGGACGTCCGAGATGCTTAGTATGGAGCTCTCTTTGGGGGCTCCTCTCTTGTTTTTGTTTTTGGATTTTAACGGGATTGCCACAATTGAGCTGTTGGGGGAGTAGTTGTCGAATGTGACTCGTTCGCTTTTTTCACTTCTTGTTCGGAGGAGTATGGGCTTCACGTTATTGTTGTTGTTGTTGTTGTTGCCGTCGTCGTTGTTTTTCTTGGATTCTTTCTTTTGGTGGTTTGGTGGGTTCTGCATCAGGTCACGGAACCCGACGGCTGAGGCACTTAGTTGGCTGTACAAAGGCATGCTTCTCATGGAGCCGTCAAGTAAGGCTACGCCTATGTTTAGAATCCCTTGCGGACGCCCAGATGGACGACGTACCTAAAATCACGCGCGTTCAAGTTTTTCAAAAATTATTAACGTAAATCGATCGGATTATCAATGCTCCACAAACGTGAACACCAGTTAATCGGCTATTTGCTTCATGCATATGCGCATGCTTACATGTCCTTAAAGCACCTCGTCAAATTTAAGCTAAATTATTTTCAGAGAACAATTTATTAGAAACCTGAAGAATAACATAATAATTCTTGATCGAAATTAAATACTATCAAGATTCAAGCATGAATCCTTTTCCATTTCAATCAAAAAACAAAAGGATAAAACAGAGAAAAGGAGAAGCAAAACCTGAAGGGCAACAAACCGCATGCCGATATGGTTGCCGTTTCGGCCACGGGTAAGGACAGGTGGCGGTATGAGATTGGCTACGAGTACGCGCACGGTGCCAACAAGGACATCGCGCAGCCAATGGGTGGCGTAGATTTCGATCACGACTGCCGACGTGTCCTCACGCAGGAACTCGTCATCCACCCTGAACACAAACTTATCGTTCCATGTCGGGTTGTTGTTGCCGTTCGAGTCAATGCATGATGAGAGCTTGCGGGCTGGGTTGACCCACGCCCGAGCGTATGTCTTCATCTTCCTGAACGCGGGCTCCAGATCCTGGCCCGATATTATGTTCATCTCTAGAAGCTGGAAAGGCTTCGACCCGCGCGGCGCCATCTTCTTGTACACGGTCGACCCAATGATAATCCAACATAAGATTTAGAAATTAAAAAGGAAAAAGGGGGAGAAAGTGATTACGGAAATCGGGCC